ACTTCTTGGCTGGGGGCGTCCCCAGCAAGGGGCTTCTCTAGAAGCCCCTTATACAGAATGGGCATAAGACCTTCCTTGGGGGATTGTCCCTGAGGAGGAGCCAACTGCCTCTTGAAGCATGACCGAGGGCTGTCATTCTTTCCTGTATTGTGTTTTTTTTCTTTTTTAAAGATTTTATTTATTTATTTGAGAGAGAGAGAATGAGAGAGAGCACATGAGAGGGGGGAGGGTCAGAGGGAGAAGCAGACTCTCTGCCGAGCAGGGAGCCCGATGCGGGACTCGATCCAGGGACTCCAGGATCATGACCTGAGCCGAAGGCAGTCGCCCAACCAACTGAGCCACCCAGGCGCCCTTTTCTTTCCTGTATTGTATGTGGTACTTTCCCGTCTGTGGTACGTGGCTATGCGTGTCTGGCGGTTGCATGGATTTGCAAATACGGGAGACATGAGGCAATGGAAAGAAGGCTGATCTGGCGTTCGGGGCACCTGAGTTCTCTCCTAGCTCTAGGAAGGGTGTCTCGGGGCCATGCCTCGATCCTTCTGGGTCTCGGGTTCTTCATCTGGACAAGAGAGGTGTTAAGACCGACCTCCCAGAGCTGTCAGAAGGATCCGATGAGATGACGTGTGAGGTGCCACCAGCAAACAGCACTTCTCAAGAGCTTTTCAGCCGCCAGGGTGCCCGTGGCTAGTTGCCAGCCACCTGGCACGGCGATCCTTCCCATACATGTGCACAGATGGAGTGTGCGTGTTTGTGCAAATAGCCACTTCTCCGGGCAGGGCAGGAGGGCATCCCTTGGCATCCACCCTGGGTCTCTTGGACCTGTCCGGTGGTGGTGAAGCCTGCGGGGCTCTGGAGCCAGGCTGCCTGGGTGTGAATCCCAGCTCAGCCACCTCCTAGCTTTGTGACTCCAGGCAAATGACTTAACCTCTCTGTGCTTCTCTTTCCTCCTCTGAAACTGGAGACAATAATAGCAGCCCCCTCAGAGAGCTTTGTGAGGAGGACACAGTTCAAACGTGCAAAGTGCTTACGGCCCAGGCTGGTACAGATGTTTGTGGTTATTCCCGAGTTGGACCGGGTCGGAGGGGTGCGCTCTGCTGCCCAGTTCCCACGTCTTTCCTGGCCAACAGATAGGTCATCCCCTGGAACAGTCCTTCCTGAGCTCCGACCAGTTTCCCTCAGGCAGAAGTTCCTCGAAGGGTGCAGCCTGAGGCATGGCAGCCAGCGCAAGCTGCTAAAATAATCACATTTACAGGAGGCCCAGGATGTCGATGGGACAGATATTTTTGAAAGTGAATGTCAGTGAGTTTCAGGAAAGAGAGGCGGGCGACAGGCTTCTGCAGGTCCCCAGCTGGCTGGACAAAAGCAAGCTTTTCTGCGCTCCATTCCTCCCCCTCTCAGACCCCGTCTCACCCAGACCCTCACAAGGAGGCGAGCGACCTGAGGGGGCGGTGTGGATCGGCTTTGACAGGGTCAGATCTCCCTTCCCACTGCTCCTGCTTTGCCCTTGCCCTGCCAGTGACCTCGGGAGGAGGAGACCCAGGAGTGGGAAAATGTAAAAGGGTGCTGGTGGGGAGGGGGCTGATAGGAATGAGGGAGGCAATGCGGGGCCATCAGAGAGAGGGAAATAGAAATGGGGCGTCGGCCAGACCGAAGTAGGCAGAGGGTCCTGTGCACACGCAGACGGATGTGTGAAAGTGTGTTTGCCAGAGCGTGTGAGTGAATGGGTGTGAGGCGGTGTGTATGTGTGTCAGGCGGTGTGCCTGAGCGTCCGTCTGACCGGGAAGAGACAGATTCACAGACCCACACCACCGGCAGGGACCGTTTCTGACCAGACTGCTGCGCCGCAGATGGGGAAGCGGGCTCAGGAATGAAATGCCCAGTCCCTGGGCAAGTCAGGAACGAGACCCTTGGTCTCCAGACAACTAATCCAGGGCTGGGGGGTGGGGATGGAGGGGGAAGATGAGGAGGAAGGCGGCCAGGGAGACACATTTTGGGGGGAGAAGATTGGGAACTCTTCCTAACTTCTGCGCTTGCCCTCAGTCTCCCCAGTGCTGCCCCAGAAGACAGGAGAGGACAGGGGCGGGCAGCAGCTTCACAGGGTGCAGGGCCCCTGGGGGGGGCGGTCCAACATCGGGCCTCCCCCTTTCCTGCAGACGTGGACTCCCCACCCCAGCCAGCTGGGACGTGTCACCCCTGGAGCCCCTGGCAGAAGCCGTGGCCTCTCCAGCTTCCTACTGACCCAGCCTCAAATGTGGGGAGGGCCCTTCAGAAAGAGGTTTGGGCCCATTCCCAGTTTGGCAAAGCTGAGGTCTAAAATGGAGTGGGGAGGAGCCTGAGCCCACCAAAGTTCTGGCCCTCTCCTCCCTGCCCCTCCTCAGTTTCCCCTACCTGGGCAATGGCAGAAAGGACAGGACATTCTATCTGTGAGAGGTGAAGTGGAATGGGGGGGGGGAGGACTCTCTGAGCAGGGCCTCACCGGCTCTTGCATATGGCTTCCCTGCTCCTCCTCCAGAGCCCCCTGCCTGGGAGGAGCACCCTCCGTCCTTAGGTTGAGGGAGGAGGGGAAAGAGGGTCCGCAGCCAGGGAAGGGAAACTGCAACCACAGCAGACATTCCCGATGACTCACGGGCCCGGAACGCCTCGAGAGGGGGCAGGACAGCCCTCTGCTCAGCTGGGGCAGCCGGAGAAGACCCAGGCCCCAGGGGTGGGGGGGTTGGGGGGGTGGGGGGGCAGGGAGGTGAGGGGAAGGCAGAAGGGCAAGAAGCAGAGCCCTGGAGAGGCTCAGGGAAGGTCGCTGAGAGGTGCCTTAGGGAAGAGCGACCTTGGGCCTCCCCACTTCCATCCTAGCCACAGATGGTGCTCCCGCTGCAGCAGGCACAATGAAGGCTGGCTGTTACCCCAGACACCCCCCTTCCCTGGCCTTCAGGGAACTCTCTCTCTGGAGAATGGCTTGAAAGGAGGAAAACGTTCTGCACCTACCCCTTCCTGGGACTGAGTATCACACCTTCCCGCCCTGAGGAGGCAGGGGGATGGCATTGATGATCTCCACGGAGTCCCCCCATGTTCCTACCCACTCCAACTTCCTTCACTGCCATGCTCCTCCTGTGACCCCTCCATTTGCTGGGCCTCCTCTCTGGAGAGGGGAAACTGAGGCCCAGAGCAGTCTGGAGGTACAGGGCATACAACTGCTCCCTCCCAGGTCTGCCTGACCTGGCAGAGCTCTGGGCTCAGGGTGCCTGTGTCCAGTCCCTCCTCCCCCCAGCAGAAGAGGCAGTAAAGCCTTTAGTCTACGTGGCAGGCAGAGGGGGGCCTGCGAGGGAAGGGAGCTGGGAATGAGGTCAGCGGGTTGGATGGGCCAGGCTGTGGCTGTGAAGGCATCTGGGCTGCAGCAGTCTGGAAGGTAGGGGCCTCCGGGTCGGCCACTCCCAGCCCCAACCCGCCATCCACCCGCCCACCACGGCCTGTCTCCGGCTCCTCCCCTCCTTGCAGCCCACACTCCAGCCAGGCCAGATGGTTCCCATCAAGCCTCTTCCATGTGGCAGCTCCACCCTGCCCACCAGGCTCCCTTCCCCCTTCGGCCACACGGCTCAGCGGAGAGTCGGGGAACAACTCTCCTGCCCTGTCCTCCCCAGGCCTGGACTGGTATCATGTGGGATCCCTGCACATGTCGACCCCTTACGCCAACCCCAGGTCCTTTCCTGGCCCCTCCAGCTCTTCAGCAGCCGCCACCACTCAGGATCTTGAAGTGCACCAGGGATCTTACCTCAGACCCCTCCATCTCAGCTGTGTGACTGCAAGCAGGTCAATTCCCTACTCTGAGCCTTAGTTTTCTCATCTGGGCAAGGAGGGGGAGGGCGGGGAGAACAGGGCAGAATGAGCTCAAAGTTTCATTCTACCTGAACATCAGTTGTATTGTATTCCCACTTTAAAAAAATGTAAAGTTCCCACATCTAGCAGCAATGGAACACCAGCTTTGGAGGGGTCATCTGGTCTACCTCTTTGCCTGCTCCCAAGTCCTGTTTCCTGGATGGTCTGAGACCCATAGATCCCACACACTTTCCTTGCATCTCCCCCTTTCCCCCAAGGGCTCCAGCCTTCTAACTTGAGCTCTGCTGTCACTGAGGTAGAGGTTTTCTGAGCAAGTCCTTGGCAAAAGGCTTATAACCATACCCTGCTCAAAAGCAGTCACTGGCTCTCTATGGCCACCAAATAGATTTTAAAATATTCTGCCAGAATTCCAGGCCTCTAGAAGTTGGTCCCTGCCTATCTGTCCAGCCTTATCTTCCACGTTTCCTCTGCCCAATACCTTCTCCCCACCACCTCTGTCTCTGTTGGAGTCAGGGGGAGGTTTCCCAGGTTTGGCGGGGCCCTCCCTCCCGTTCCAACCCTGCATTCAAAATCTGTCACTCACCTCCAAGGCTCAGCTCCAAAGCAGCTCCTCCCTGAAACCTGACTTACCTCCTATTGGCATTCTCATCACCTTTGCATCTCCCTGGAGACTTCCATTTACCAAGCATGACACAGGCCAGCAAGGTGGTCTCACTACTACCCCATTCCACAGACTGGGGAAATGAGGATCAGAGAGATGGAGAAACTTATACAAAATCACGCAGCCAGCACTGCCCTGGGTGAGAGACATTTCTGTCTTTCTTTTATTCCCCATCCAGACTTCCCATTCCCTAAGGACAGGAACTGTGGTCCCCAGAGCTCTCCTCAGCACAGGGCTGGCCCCAGGCGGTCTGCAGGAACCATCCACCAAATAGAATTGACTAGAGTGTTTGCAATAGGCACCAAACTCAGGATGTTCTTCCCTACACGGGGCCCTCACCTAATCTTCCCCCTTCCAGGGAACCACACCATCCAGCCTCTCAGAAGACCGGGAGTCATCCCTGCTCCTCACTGCCACACTCCCACATCCACCCACCCCGGCGCCTATAAAATCTGCCTCCCAAAGTGCTCCTGAATCTATTCTCTTCTCTGTTTCCATCCCCTTCAACCAGGTCCAGGCTCCCAGTGTCTCTCAGCCCCGCAGCGGCTGACTTCTACCAGAGACCCCACCCGCCGAGTGACAACAGCCATCTTCTACAAACACAGACCTGACTCCACCCCTCCCTGCTTCAGACCCTCTACTGGGGCCCAGACCTCTCCGGACAGGACTGAACCCCCTGATGTGTCTTCGTTGGCCTTCCGGCCTTTGCTTCCTGTGCTCCAGTCACCCTGGCCTTCTTGGATTCCGTGGGCATCTAGAACTTGCCATGTTCCCCTCTGCCCCAGAGCCTCTGTATATGTGGTACCATGACACTCACTGCAAACCCCCACCCTGCCACCTACCCCTTACCTAAGGTGTCCCTAGCTCATCTGCCAACCTCTTCAGGACAGCCTTACTGGGCCCCCAGGTCTAGACTCCTTGGGGTACCTGCTACTGAGAGCGCCATGTTCCTTTCCTTCATGACCTTTACAGCCGCAATGACGTGTTTATTTATGTGATTTCAAGTCTGTCTCTACCAGACATAAGCTCCATGAGGGCAGTCACTGACTGGCCAGGCCCCAGAGCAAAGTGCTTGACAGATAAATATGGTTGAATGAGCAATTCTGGATCCTTTCTCTGTCCAAGCCACACTCTGTCCAAAGGGGTGCTCTGCCCAGGACTGGTGCAAGTGAGAAGACTGGGATCCCCCATCCCCACTCAACCCCAACCCCCAGAAACTCCAGAATCCTAGGTTTGCCAGGAAGACTTTGTGGCTGAGGTAGAACAGGAAGACACCAGACACCTGTGGCCAAGGCTTCTCTGTGGTGGTGGTGGGGGGGGGGTGAGGGGGGGGGAGAGATAAAGGGATCAGCTGGGCTCTGGACAGGTGCCTCTATCTCATAGAGGTTCCCCCTACCCCTTGCTTTTTTTCCTTTCAAATCCAAGCTTCAAAGGAGCCTTTGCACCCACCTCCTAGGCACTTGGACCTGACATCTGGCTGTGGTAGAGCCTCGGTCCCCTAGGCCCCGCCCCCTAGGCTAGCAGCTTGCCCCGGGGGGAGGCTTGCATGCAGCATCATCACAGCATCGAAGCATCATCGGAAGACAGCCCCAGGAAGGGACGGAGGAGCCAGAGATACCGGAAGAGAATATGAGAGAAAGAGAAGGAGGGAGGAGGAGAGTGTGGGTGGGCGGGCTGGAACAATGGGACCGGCAACGCAGAGGAGAGAAAGAAAGGGGAGGAAAAGATCTAAGAAAAGGAAGGAAAATACATGAACAGGAGAAATGGGCGTGTGGTGGGGGGATAAAAGAATAGGGAAAAGGAGGGAAGTGGGGAAAGAGAACGGGGCTAAAGCAAGTACAGAACAGAACCAAACCAGAAAGAGGTAAATAGCAATTCAACGAAACCTGCTCTGCCCCCAGACCAGGTGAGGGCTAAAGAGGCAATCAAGCCCCTGCCAGATCCCTGACCCGGGAGCTCACGCCCAGGCAGGAAAGATGGGCGTTGCCTCCTCACTTGAAAGCACCACAGAGCAGAAGCAAGAGCCCATCCAGCACCTTATTCTCACTTGGGACCCGCTGGGGACCTGGTGAGGTGGCTGGAGTGGGCCTAGGGAGTCCTGCTGTCACTGATGGATCACGCTCCAGCCTCTCTCCTCCGGGTTGTCCCAGCCCCTTCCCTGGTTCCTCTGCCTCCACTTTCCCCTTCTTGGACTACGCGGCCCACCCCCAAGAATGGGGCGGACCCTGCCAGGACTAGAAATAAAGCCTTCTCTTCAAAAGCCTGGCCTGAGGGCACTCTCTAGAAAAGAATGAGCTGCTGGCTGGGCCTGGATGTGAAGTTGTACCTGAGAGGAGGGGGATCCAAAAGCACAGGGGGCCCAGAGGAAGAGCTCAGGCGAGGGAAGGGTGGAGAAAGGACCGGAGTCCCAGGGGAGAGAAAGGGGAGGGGGGCAGGGGACAGACAGACAGACAGGAGTGGGGGTGGGGGAGAGCAGGGAAAGAAAGACCGATAGGAGGGAGGATAGGGCATCTTCTCACTCTCCTCCCCTCACAGCTAAACTCATCCTCCAAGCTCTGTGCACTCTGACCCCATTTCCTGGCCTCCCACCTGCTCCTCAGCCCCCTCCAGTCTGGCTTCCTCACCCATCACTCCACCAAAACTTAGGGCACTAATCCATCACCACCGTGCTGCCAAACCCAGGGAGCATTTTGCCCCTTATTGTACTAATTCTCTCTGCAGCATCTAATTCTCCCTCCTTCTAGAACAATCTCCCCCTCCCTTACATGACACCCACCATCCCTCTTCTCCTTGCCCTTCTACTCTCACTCTTGTCCTGTCTCCTGTAAGGAGGGGCTCCTGCTCCCCTTCCCACCCCTTCAGCCCCCAAGGGTCCTCAGGCTCTGTCCCGGCCCTTCATCTGTCCTCCCTCCATGCAAGCTCAGGAGACAAGTCCTTCCACACCATCGTCCTGGGGGCCCATGTTTGTCTTTCCTCTGAGCTCTAGACCCAGACACCCAAGGGTTGCCCCCGCCTTTCTGCCTGGATGTCTCACAGGCACCTACCTAACACTCCACATGGACGAACTTCATTCTTCATCTTCCCTGAAAACCTGGAAAAGATGAAGAGACAGAGGGACATCTCTGAAGCCTGAGGGACTTGGGTTGAGGCTGAGAAAGAGCAGAGCTGTGCCTGGAAGCTAAGGAACTTAGCTGAGGACCCAAGGGCCAAGCCAGTGTGATGCTGAGCAAAGGAAGGGAGGGAGGACTGCATACACTTGGGGTCTGCCCCTGACTCTGCCCCCAGGGACCCTCAACAGGACCAGAGCAGACCTCCATGACAGGGATGTGTGGAGACCAAGCTGTCCTCATGCCTCATCCCTGAGAGCCACACTCTCAGACCCCCTCTCCTTCTCTCTCCTCAACCCTCTCCCAGGGACCCTCTCTCCACAGCCCCCTTTGGGGCCAGGGTGGGGGGAGATGAGCATTCTGGAAGGTCAAGACTGGGGAGGGAGGGCAAGGGAACTTCAGAGCGGCTGGAAAGGGCTGATCTCCACCCCCCCACCACCAAGTGCCCTACTTCTCCCTAGTCCCACATCACAGAGTCTAGACTGGGGGCTTGGGGGGCTCCCGAGGGAGGGGGCACTGGGGATCACAGACCTGCCCCATCTCTCATGGAGGGAGGGCACTTGGGGAAATTTGGAGAGGGAGAGAACTCAGAGCTCAGCACTTTCCTCTTTCTGTTTTTCTTCTTGAGGAATTTTTTTCCCTTAGTGCTGATGACTTTACCATTGCTTGGGGGTGTGTAGGGGGGAGATTTTGGCTTTTGTTCCCCCCCCAACTCCAAATGCCCGACTAAGTCTAACATTCCACAAGAAGCCAGAGCTTCAGAGTTTCCTAAAGATGAGGTGGCGTCTCCTCCCCTCTCTCAGCGCCCTCCCTCATCCCTCCCCCCCCCCCAGTCTCAAGCCCAAGGAGGCCCAGCCAGGCTGGGAGGAGACCCCAAGCACATTCTTCCTCTCACTGTCATGCTGCAGAAATTAAAGACACATCTTCGGGCTGGGCGCCCGCCAAGCGTTTCAAGTCGAAAGTGGCAGAGGAGGCCCTGGGCCTCAGCTCTATGCCACGTGTAAGGAATGCTTGGAAAGCCTCTGCCCACGACTCCTGGGACAGAGGTCTGAAACTGGATGTTGGGGCTGTGGCTGTCACACCACACATACGCAAAACCCACCCCCCCAACCCCAGGGTTCCCCGAACATCCTTCAGGACCCCAGGCCTGAGCTATAGCAGCTCCTCCTTGTCATCCGAGGCTCCAGCTCTTCTTTAAGATAGGCCTGGGATGCCTGGACCAGGAGCACCCAGGGAGTGGACTGGAGGCTGGAGTCCTGGCTTCCAGAACTCAGCCAGGGAGGTGGGCAGGTCACAGCACCCTCATCCCAAGCCTGTGACACCCGGCCCCAGACAGCCACTGCAGAGGGACAGGACACTTGTCCCCCTTGTCCCTGACCCCCAGGAGGTGGAGTGGGGGGGTGGGTAACTGCCATCTCAGCAGCCCAACGCTGTCCTGCCCTGCAGTCGCTGGCACTAGGCGGGGGCAAATCCTGGGCCACAAGTTGCTGCCACATGGTGGGGATAATTGATGAAGGCTCGTCCCTCCATTGCTGTCTGCAGCCCTGCCTCTCTGGAAACTCTATATTTTCCCTTTAATTATAGCCCCTGCACTCTCCCTCCGCCGCCCCACCCGCACCGCTCATCCTGGCTGCCCACGGTCTACGTGGCTCCCTCCCCTTCTGTTCCCTTGGTCTTTTTTTTCCTTTGCCTTCGTTGCACAAAACCAGCTGGGGGAGGGCGTGGAGAGGGGCGGGGGCTGGGGGGAGGCAATGGAATTTTGGATGGTTTGGGGGAGGCGGGACTCCCCGCTTCCACGTTTGCAGCTCTGGAGTGATGGGGGTGGGGGAACTGGGCAGGAGGGACAGGAGTTGATGGACACTGCAAAGGGACCCCAACTGCCTTCTCTTGGGCCCACAGATTTCAGTAGGACCAAGAGCAGAGTGCTGTTGGGAGGTTGGGAGGTGGGGAAGGGGGGACACTGACTTCTGGGGGCATCCCCCAAATATAGCCTGTTGTTCTTGGGGTCTCCACCCCCTTTCAGGGTACAGATGATTCTCTCCTGGTTCCAGGGGCTGAGAGCAATTCCCTGGGTTTTCAAGAAAGAGGTGGGGCAGTGGGGAACATCCTCTAAAATAAGGTCACTCAACCGTCCGTGCAATTCCATCCCAAACCCCCAAAGGCAAGTCTCCCCCTGACACCCAAATTCCCCACTATGCTCCAACCTTGAGTCCAGGTACAACCAGGGAGGGGCTTTCTGCAGCTCCCAGAAGGAGCACCCTCTCTCTGGTCCAATGTCTTCAACCCAAGTGCTGCTGGTGTGACTCTGCGGGGTCGGAGGGTCTCTAACCAGGCCCTGGCCACCGCCTGGGCCGGCCCTCACACAAAACCCTTTTCTAGGTCACTAGTGATCCCAGCCCTCTTGTACAACCTCACCGCCCTGGGGGGGGGGGGCGCGGGGGGGGGGGAAGAGTCCCAGCAACTTCCCACCAGTACTCTCCAGCCCTACCACTTAACCCCCAAGCTTCCTCCTGGAGAGATCACACAGTCAATTTTCTCACCCAGTATCTCAGCCTCCCTACTCCATCTCTCTCAGTCACACCTTGGGTTTGGGGGAGAGCATTTGAGTCCATCTTGGAACCTCAAGCAAGGCAGAATTGACGTCCTCAAAATAAACCCCTCTTGCCAACAACCCCCATCCAAGTATCTCACTCCTAATGTCTGCAAAGGAATCTCTAACTTGTTCCCAAAATATGCCTAAGCTAACACCAGAAGACACCCCTAAACAGGCACATCTTTGAAATTCTCTGGTTCTCCTGTTTTAGAGGAGAAGCCGGCCTCTTCATACCCATCCCTTAGCTCTTGCCAAGGATGTCAGTAAGGTGAATGAGGCATGGCCAGGACCACCCTCGCCAGATCACCCCCATTCCTTCTACCTCTGGAAGCTTCCCCTCCTAGCTCCCCAGTTCCAGTTCCTCCCAATGGGAGAGTCTTAGGAACAAAAGCCCAAGGGGCACCACTACCCACTCTTTAGCCCACACTATACTGAGGACCTAGCCGCACCTCGGCAGCAGCATCTCTGGCCCAGGCTGGGCTGGGGGGCTGGGGAGGCAGAGCAGCGAAGGGGGGAGATGTGCGGTGGACTCCCTTCCCTTCCCTCCTCCCTCCCCCTCTCCCTTCCAACTCCCAAATTGGGGGCCGGGCCAGGCAGCTCTGATTGGCTGGGGGACGGGCCGCCGGCTCCCCCTCTCCCTGGGGCAGAGTTCCTCCCCGCTCTCCGTCAGGATGGTATAAAAGGGGCCCGGGCCAGTGGTCGGAGCAGACGGGAGTTTCTCCTCGGGGTCGGAGCAGGAGGCACGCGGAGTGTGAGGCCACGCATGAGCCGACGCTAACCCCCACCCCAGCCGCAAAGAGTCTACATGTCTAGGGTCTAGACATGTTCAGCTTTGTGGACCTCCGGCTCCTGCTCTTCTTAGCGGCCACCGCCCTCCTGACGCGCGGCCAAGAGGAGGGCCAAGAAGAAGACAGTAAGTCGCAAACTTTCGGGGAGTCCAGGGCTACTTGGTATCTTGCCCTGCGCTCGGTCCCAGGGGTCCACGACGTAAACTGAGACTCGGGATGCTCCGGAGACTCAGGGATGGGAGGGAGATGGTGAGGGCTCTTCCTGGGCGCCGTGGGAGAGAAGGCAGTGCACCCCGGGTGGAGGGTGTAGACGAACGCCCCCGGGTAGTGAGAGGGGAGGATGGAGCGCCGTGGGAGTTGGCACAGGAGGGAGTCCTGAGCGCGCACTGTGGAGTACCACGGGGGAAATGGGCGCCGAGTGAGGGGAAAGTACGTCGAAGATGGGTCGGGGGCGCCGTGCTGGGAGTTTGGAGCCCGAGATGTAAAAGCGATCGGGAAGGCTGTGGGATGATTCATAAGGAAAGATTGTTTGCCCTCTCTGCAGGCTAGACAGTGTTCCTGGGGCCGCGGGGGTGCTGGGCTGAGGGGGGAGGGGGCGCGGAGAGTGGGCGGGTTGGAGGATGAGAAACTTTGGCGCGGACTTGCAGGGCGGGGTCCTTGCGCCCTCTGCTGAGCCACACTGGGCCCCGCGCCTCCCGGTCCAGCGCTTCCCCGCGCAGGACCTGCACTGAGTGCACGGGCGTTATTGCCGCTTGTGGACCCCACCTCTAGTCCTGGAAAATAAAGCTGGGGACTGGGTAGCCTCAGTGTCTAAAAGAAAGTGGCCAGTCCCTGGAAATTGCTTGGTGTTGCCCGCCACCTAGTGGCCATCTGAGTAGAAGCTCGCGCGGTGGGCGTGGTTAGCTAACTTCATTACTATTTGCGGACTTTTTGGTTCTCTGGCTAAGGAGTGACCCAGAGGCCCTGGCTAGCTTTAGGAAAGAGGGGTTGTCCCGAGAGAGGGCTTTTGAGATGTCTGGGCGCTGGATGTTAGGGTGTATCCTATTTTGGGGGTACAATTCAAGTCTCTGGGCGGGACCTCAGGCCAATAGGCCCCGCCCCATCCTCTTAGCCCCGCCCACGCTATCCCACCTGCCCTGGGATGGGGCAGAATGGGGGCTGGACCTCCCTTCCCTCCTCCTACCGGCCCCCCCCGACCCCACCCTTGTCTCCACCCATACCACGCCCCCCGAGTCGGCCCGCTTGTTGGGGCCCCTCCTGTTCTCTCTCCTCCCCAGTCCCCCACCTCCCCTCCCCCACCCCGTGGCTTTTTTATTTCACTTGGCTTCAGCGCCGATGGGCTGGGGTTGGAGTTGGAAGCAACTCCGGCCTAAAGCTTTGTTTAAATTCCTGAGGACTGGAAAGAGTTAGGGCCGCCCTGGCCAGGCGCCTCGGCGCTGTCACTGGCCCTGATGAGGAGCAGATGAGCTTTTAAGGATTTGGGGAAAGGAGCGGGCACGGGGTGGAGGAGGCGGGAAATGGAAAATCTAAAAGTGTCCTTACGAGGCGGGAACGGCGGGCAGGGCTGGGGTCCCTGGAGCCCCGCGGTGGGGGGCTCGGGCGCCGCTGACAGCCCCTCCTTCCCCCTCTTGCCCCAGTCCCACCAGTCACCTGCGTACAGAACGGCCTCAGGTACTATGACCGAGACGTATGGAAACCCGAGGCCTGTCGGATCTGTGTCTGCGACAACGGCAACGTGTTGTGCGATGACGTGATCTGCGACGAAACCAAGAACTGTCCCGGCGCCCAAGTCCCCCCGGGCGAGTGCTGCCCCGTCTGCCCCGACGGCGAGGGTACGGTCGGGGGCCTGGGGCTGGGGGAGGGCGGGGCCGCCGGGAGTACCCGGGGCAGACCCCGCCGCTCACCCGCGTCTCTTCTCCCCTAGCGTCTCCTACCGACCAAGAAACCGCAGGAGTTGAGGTAATCCGCTGCCCTCGACTTTTGCCACCCGCCCCAGGGTCCTCAAGCGCCTCCCGTCTCTAACCCGGCTTCTTTTGTTTCTTCTCCCCCCACAACCCTATAGGGACCCAAGGGAGACACTGGCCCCCGAGGTCCAAGGGTAAGTTAGCGTGGCCTTCGCTCGGCATTCGGGGCTGCAGGTGGGCGTGGCTCCAGGCCTGCGCTCACCGCTGACCCCCCCCCGCCGCTGCAGGGACCTGCCGGCCCCCCTGGCCGAGATGGCATCCCCGGACAGCCTGGACTTCCCGGACCCCCCGGGCCTCCCGGACCCCCCGGACCCCCTGGCCTCGGAGGAGTAAGTGAAGACTTAAGACAGCCCTGGCAGGCCCTGTGTGCCCCTCACCTCCTGTTCTTCTTCTTCTTTTTTTTTTTTTTTTTGTGGGTTTTTTGACAGATGGCATACTTTATATTTTGAAATGATTTCAAACTCAGGGTAAAGTTTCGAGACTGGTGCCAAGAACTCTCACATACACTTCACAGTTTGTCACATTTGCTTTATCAGTCTCTGTGTATACATAGAACTGTCACTATTTTTCCTTCTGAACCATTTGTGCCAGAGTTCGTTGCTGATGTTACGTCCTTTGCTCCTAAATACTTTAGTGTGTATTTCCTGGGAACAAGGACTGTCTCTTATGCGACCGTTGCACAATGATTACATTTCAAAATTCTGACATTGATACATAACTATCATCTAACATACCGTCCCTGTCCAAATTTCAACAATATCCCGATAATGCCCTTTATAGCATCTTTTCTCCTGACCCAGGATCATGAATTTCATTTAACTGTCATGCGTCTTCAGTTTCCTTTACTCTGGAACATTCCTCAGACTTTCTTTGTCTTTCACGACACGGAAATTTTTTTAAGAAGCCGGTTGCTTTGTAGAGGCCAATTGTTTTTATAAGACGGTCCCTCAGTTTGGGTTGGCTGGATGTGTCCCCATAATTAGAGTTGGGCCCTGCATTTTTGGCAGGAATATCTCACAAGTGAGGTTGTTGTCCTTCTTAGTGCATCACATCAGGAGGCATATGTCAATATCCTGTTGTCAGTGACATCTTCCGCCTTTCTAGTCACTGATTTCTCATACACTCTCTCTTGTTTTTTCTAGAACTTTGCTCCCCAAATGTCTTATGGCTACGATGAGAAATCAACTGGAGGAATCTCCGTGCCTGGCCCCATGGTGAGCCACTGGGGGGTGGGGGTGGGGCAGAGATGACAGAAGAGCCAGTGGGGATCCAGATAGGATGGGCCAGTGGTGGCATATGGGGGTGTTATAGGAGGTCAAGACGACCTTCGGAACCTGAAGTCCACAGAGGAAGACAACTGGGTGGTCTCAACAGGAACCACTGGGAGATAGCAAGACCACACCCACATGGCACTTTCCTACAGAGGTATCACTATGGCCCCCTTTTTTTTTTCCTTCTGTAGGGTCCTTCTGGTCCTCGTGGTCTCCCTGGCCCCCCTGGTGCACCTGTGAGTATCCAGGATGTCATCATGTACCACCCTGGGCTTTGGTCTTTAGAAGGGAGGATCGGGATGAGGGTAGAGAAGGTGCTCTGAGAGATCTCTTAGTGATCTGGGGAAAGATTGGTAGGGACCTGTCCTTCTAACTGAATCCCTCTTTCCTTGTTCTCCAGGGTCCCCAAGGTTTCCAAGGCCCCCCTGGTGAGCCCGGCGAGCCTGGAGCCTCAGTAAGTGCCTCCCCAACTTGTACTCTATACAGGTACACGCTCTTTCTACAAATACGTGGATTCTCCCATTGAAGGACGCCTCCACACCTACTGTCTGGGGTCTTCCCTACCTCCTTCTTCTAATCCCAGCCTTCCCTTTCTTTTCTTTTTCTCCCTTATCCTGGTTATTCTAATATCCTTTCTTCCTGTTTCCTCTAGGGTCCCATGGGTCCCCGTGGTCCCCCTGGCCCCCCTGGCAAGAACGGAGATGATGTAAGTAGCCCAGGCGAGAAGATCCCATCTAGCCCCCAACACCTCCATCAGCTAGGTCCCTGTAATCTCCACCCCAGTGCCCCACCACCTTCGGGGGGTGATGCCCAGAGAAAGGAGGCCAAGTTCTCCCTGATGCGCGGGACTGCCCTTGAACAATGATCTTCACCCCTTGTGGGATGTTTCCCCATCTCCCCAGTGGAGGTGACTGGCCCTCCCCTCACCCCAGCCACCTTAAAGCATTCCCCAGCCCCGTCTGATGGGGTGAATGACTTCCTTAGGCTTAATGGCTCTGGGCATTAGATTTGCTCTCCATCTATAGAAATAAACAGAAATACCTTTGGAGGGACTCAAAATTCACCAAACAAGGATTTTACAGTAGATTTAAGCTGAACTCTAAATTCAAAGATAAGATTCTGGGCTCCTAAACCTGACTTTCAACAGTACTAAAGAAAACTCAGACCTTCCACGCTTTTCTAGCCCACGGAGGGGGGTGGGGGCAGGGGCATGATGGCCTTGTCTCTCCCTTTCAGGGTGAAGCTGGAAAGCCTGGTCGTCCTGGTGAGCGTGGACCTCCTGGACCTCAGGTGAGCGGGGATGCGTGGCTGGCCGTGGACTTCGCTACAGGTGGGCTTCGCTTGGGAGCTGGGTCCTCCGTGGCATCTTCTAAAGGCTCTGCCTTTCTCCTCCTTTTCTTTTCTCTCCAGGGTGCTCGGGGATTGCCTGGAACAGCTGGCCTTCCTGGAATGAAGGGACACAGAGTAAGTCCCCTTTGAGCCATCTAAGCTCCCCAAGTCCCAGCATCTGACAATTCCAGCCCCTTTCCCCAAAGGATCCTGTGTGCGCCCTGGAAGGTGGAAGCTACAGAAGTCCCAAGGGATAGGGAGTAGCCATCCAAAAGAACTTCCCTCCATTGGGAAAGAAATCTCAATAAAGGGATTGGGTGAGCTCTTGGCCCAGTTGGGGTTTAGTCTGGCACAGAGACAGAGCCTGTGGGGTGACCCCCTGAGGCACCTTCTCAGGTCAGAGTGGGGCTTCCATCGGTACTCACCTTGGCCCTTCCTATCTTAGGGTTTCAGTGGTTTGGATGGTGCCAAGGGAGATGCTGGTCCTGCTGGTCCTAAGGTAAGAAGATGCCTGAATGTCATGGGCCTCCTCCTGCCCCTCCCACTCCACCCCATGAACGAATTCCTAACTTTATTCTCCGTTCTCTAGGGTGAGCCCGGTAGCCCTGGTGAAAACGGAGCTCCTGGTCAGATGGTGAGTGTGTCCAGTTCTAGAAGGAAGAGAGGGAGCAGGGTATAGGGGCAATATGAGGTTTGGGGGGAAAGTGTGTGTCTCCCATCTCACGTGGCTTTTCTGGCTTTTGTTGTCAGGGCCCCCGTGGTCTGCCTGGTGAGAGAGGTCGCCCCGGAGCCCCCGGCCCTGCCGTAAGTACTCGTGGCCCCTTGGGGGGACGCCTGGGCTCTGGCAGAGGTTCCTGATGAGTCGTGGGTGGCCCGTGCTCAGCGCACGTAACTGGGGCTCCCCTCTCTCCGGCAGGGTGCTCGTGGAAACGATGGTGCTACCGGTGCAGCTGGGCCCCCCGTGAGTATGACCTCTGGACCCCAGTGTCTGAGAGTGGGGAGGGCTCTCAGCTCGGGCCGGGGGGGGCCGGGCCTAGGGCTCGGAATCCCAGGACCTCTTCTGTCCCAGGCTGTGACTTGCAGTTGCCCCCTTCCTTCTTGCTAACATTTCCATTTCATTCCCAGGGTCCCACTGGCCCCGCCGGTCCCCCTGGATTCCCTGGTGCTGTTGGTGCTAAGGTGAGCCCGCTGCCCTCCTCTGAGCACAGCTCCCACGGGCCAAGGGGTGCCTATCTCCCTGCTCTCCCAAACAGAGGAACCCAGAGCGGCCTATTCCCCAATACCTTTGTCCCGGGATCCCCTTCTCCCATGTGGGAGTCCTGATTCTTGGTCTTCCTGTCCCTGCCCTACACACACACACACACACACACACACACACCCCGACATCCAAAGGTGAGGTTGGGCTCCCAGGCTGGCTCCTGACATGTCCTTTTTTTCCCACCCAGGGTGAAGCTGGTCCCCAAGGAGCCCGTGGCTCTGAAGGTCCCCAGGGTGTGCGTGGTGAGCCCGGCCCCCCTGGCCCTGCTGGTGCTGCTGGTCCTGCTGTGAGTGTCGCCTCCTCAGTGCCCCCGGGGCCACCCCCCAGTTCCCAGTCCTGGCCTGTCACTCACTGGCCCCTCTCTCTCTGTGCTACAGGGAAACCCTGGTGCTGACGGACAGCCGGGTGCTAAAGGTGCTAATGTAAGTACCCTGCGGGTCTCAGAGCTGCCCCCGTGCCCCCCTCCTGCACGCCCCATGCCCCCGGCTCCCAGGCTCAACCTCTTCTGCCTCCCACAGGGCGCTCCTGGCATTGCTGGTGCTCCCGGCTTCCCTGGTGCCCGAGGCCCCTCTGGACCCCAGGGCCCCAGCGGTCCTCCTGGTCCCAAGGGTAACAGCGTAAGTATCCCTCTGTCACTGTGGCCCGCCCCACGCGCTGGCTCCGGTGGGGCCCTCCCCTGGGGAGCAGGAGGACCCAGGCCAGCTGAGTACCCCCGACTCTCGGCCCATCCTCTTTTCCTCCCGCGTGCAGGGTGAACCTGGCGCTCCTGGGAACAAAGGGGACACTGGCGCCAAGGGAGAGCCCGTAAGTGTCTCCCCCCACCTCCCGCAGCTCAGCTCTGCCCTGGGAAGCCCCGGAGGGAGACCCCGGATGGGGGGGCATGGGCGCCCCGGGGGCGGGAGCCCCAGCCTCACACTGCGGGCTGCCCCCTGGTCTCTGCCCTCTCCAGGGCCCCACTGGTATTCAAGGCCCCCCTGGCCCTGCCGGGGAAGAAGGAAAGCGAGGAACCCGAGGTGAACCTGGACCCACTGGCCTGCCCGGACCCCCCGGCGAGCGTGTAAGTGTTCCCTTCTTTGCCCCCCAGCGCCAGCCTGGCGCCCCCGTGTCGGGGCTCACCGGCCTCTCCTCCTTCTGCAGGGGGGCCCTGGTAGCCGTGGTTTCCCTGGGGCAGACGGCGTCGCTGGTCCCAAGGTAAGCTCCCCTCATGGCTGGGCTGCGCCCCTGCTGCGCCCCGAGCATTCCCTTCCTCTCTCACGTCCAGCCCCAGTCATTACTGCTCCAGGCTGTGACTGCAGACTCTCTCTCCACACTGGGCTTCCCCTTGACCTTCGCCCTGCTACCAGCGCCCCGGAGAGCACCCCCCGCCCTCCCCACTGGGAGGAATAAGACACTGGCCCATGGTAAAGAAGCCCAGACCCGAGACCCTGATTGTCCCTGTGACTCCCCCAACCAGGGCCCCGCTGGTGAACGTGGTTCCCCCGGCCCCGCTGGCCCCAAGGGTTCTCCTGGTGAAGCCGGTCGCCCTGGTGAAGCTGGTCTGCCTGGTGCCAAGGTGAGCCCCGGCCCCTCTGCCCATCCTGTGCAGGTCTGAAATGGGGCACCCTGGAGCAGGACTTCGGATCTGCCTCCTGAGGGGCCCCCTCCCCTCCTCTGTTCCCTTCTCCCCACCTGGCTCACACCTCTCTGCCTCCCCTTAGGGTCTGACTGGAAGTCCCGGCAGTCCTGGTCCGGATGGCAAAACCGGCCCCCCTGTAAGTATTGCTCCCCCCCGCCGGGGGCCCCTCCCACCCTCCTGACCGCCCACCCTCCGTCCTCACCTCTGATTCTGTGCCTTCTGTCCTTAGGGTCCCGCTGGTCAAGATGGTCGCCCCGGACCCCCAGGCCCCCCCGGTGCCCGTGGTCAGGCTGGTGTGATGGGATTCCCTGGGCCTAAAGGTGCTGCTGTGAGTATTCACTGAGGAACGTTCCAGAGCCAGAGACAGGCACTCCTAGGAGATGAGAGTCCTGGGCGCCAGTCCCAGCTTTGCCACTGACTTGCTGTGTGGCCTCAGGCCACTCACTGCCCCTCTCTGGGCCTCAGTGTCCCTATCCATAAAATGAGAGACCTCTCCCGACTCTACTCCCATTGCTCTCTCCTTGGAAATAAGTATTGTGGGAGCCGCCCCTCCCCCCACAGGGGTAGAATGGGCCTTTTATGTGATAGTCACCCCCAAATCCTGGTGGGTTCTTTCAGGCTGAAAAGGAGGTACCGGAGGACATGGAAGCCCTTTGCAGCTCAGGTCACCATAGGCGTATGGTGGCGAGAAGGAAGGGTGGGGGTGGGGGCAGCAGCGTCAGGGACACATGGTCTGGGGGAGGGGGCTCAGGGAGACACCAAGGGACCAGCTGTAACAGCCAGCAAAGTGTTTCCCCAGGACCAGAGCTGGGAGAAAAGAAAACCCCTTAAAAAGTGTCACTTGGGGTAAACCGGAAGGACCCGGGAGGCCTGGTCTCCCACGTAAGCCCCGTTGACCCTGACTCTCTTTCCCCACAGGGAGAGCCTGGCAAGGCCGGAGAGCGAGGTGTGCCTGGGCCCCCTGGTGCTGTTGTAAGTATCTCCCCGTGGTCCCTGTCCCCTTGCTGCCCCTGCTCGTGACACCTCTGCTCTGTCCCCTGCCCAGCGCCCCACCTGCCCCTCCCCGCTAGCAGCTGCCCCCCTCCCCACCCTGAGTCCTTTGCTCTCTCTCCACAGGGTCCTGCTGGCAAAGACGGAGAAGCTGGAGCTCAGGGAGCCCCCGGCCCTGCTGTAAGTGTCCCCGACAGGCAGCCTGGGGAGGGGACGCTGGGGAGACACCCCGTCCCCCTTTGCTCCTCGCCCTTCCAGTGACCACAGTGTGCTCTCTGTGACAGGGCCCTGCTGGTGAGAGAGGTGAACAAGGCCCCGCTGGCTCGCCCGGATTCCAGGTGAGGCCTCCCGCCGGGCAGAGGCTGAAGGGCTGGGGTCCCCCTGGCTCTTTTTCAGATTCTAATCCCACCCTCTCCCTGCCTCCCCCATTTCCCACCTACAGGGTCTCCCTGGCCCCTCTGGTCCTCCCGGTGAAGCAGGCAAACCCGGTGAACAGGTAAGAGGGAGCAGGCAGCCAGAGAGATGGGGAACGCAGGGCATTTAGAGGAAGAGGCCAGCCCTCCTAGCTAAACGGGATCCAGGTTAGATACCCTGCAGGACTTCCTGTCATGGAGGGAGCCACCCAGAGGGAGGCAGGGAGCAGAACTTCTGCATGATATTCTGGACGGCCCTGCAGGGCTGCTGGTCCCGGTGACTTCTTCTTTTTTTAGAGCCACAGGCATAACTCTGACTTTGCCCTCCGCCCAGAGTTTGGGGAGGGGGCTGTCTCTGGCACATCCCCAGGAGGACGAGAGGGATAAGCCCAGTTCAGTGCTGAGAAGGAGTTGGTCTCTAATGACAGTCCCCAAGGGCCAGCCCCCAGGAGAACAAGAGTGCTTTCTAGCGCGGAGGGTCAAGGTGCAGTCGGCTCACTCTCTGTCCCTCCCTCCCCCTCAGGGTGTTCCTGGCGACCTTGGCGCCCCCGGCCCCTCTGGAGCAAGAGTAAGTAGAGCCTCTTGCCGCTCCTGCCCAGATGCCCTGCGCCTGGCCCTGCCTCCGGAGCGGCCGTCACGCGCCCTGTCCTTCCCTTCCAGGGCGAGAGAGGTTTCCCCGGTGAACGCGGCGTGCAAGGCCCCCCCGGCCCCGCAGGTCCCCGGGGAGCTAACGGCGCCCCTGGCAATGACGGTGCTAAGGTGAGGGCAGCAGGGGGACCAGGTCCAGCCCCTCTTGAGGCGGGGGTGCCCGGCTGTGGCCAAAGCCCCCTAGATGTGGGTGAGGGGTGGCAGGGGGACAGGGCGGGATGGGGTCCATGTGCAGCCCAAAGTTCTGGGCTGGGAGACTTTCCTCTTAGCTGGTGCTTATCTTTGTCCTGGGCACCGAGACTGGGAGGTATCGAGAGGGGGCTCGGGGCTGTGACCCACTCCTGGGACCCCATGCCTCATGCCAGTCCTCTTGGTTGTCACCTAGGGTGATGCTGGCGCCCCCGGAGCCCCAGGTAGCCAGGGCGCTCCTGGCCTTCAGGGAATGCCCGGTGAACGAGGCGCAGCTGGTCTTCCCGGCCCTAAGGGTGACAGAGTAAGTTAACCCCCTTCCCCTGAGCCGTGTAGGGCTCCCATCTCTGTCTCCCTCTGCTTCGGATGCTCTGGCCTCTCTCTCTTTACCCTCCCTGGGATCGTTACCTCGTCTCCTTAATCCTCCCTTCTTCCCCTCTGGCCTCTTCGCTGATAAATCCTCTATCATCCTATCCAGGCTCTTCCCTCCCCGTGACTTACCATGGGATCAGGAGGAAGGGTGACCTCCTGGATGGGGGATCCCTTATACATCCCTCTACACAAGGCATGGGCCTCTTACCCTAAGTTCCACCAGAGCCCCACCGGAACTTTGTCCTCTGAAAGATCTTGAGTTCCAAGCACAGGTCGGGGCAGGATAGAGCTGGGGAGGAGTCCCAGACATGCTCCAGGTCACCACCCTGTCCCCCACTGGAAGTCTCAGACTTTCCTGTGTCTTTAGGGTGATGCTGGTCCCAAAGGTGCTGATGGTTCTCCTGGCAAGGATGGTGTCCGTGGTTTGACTGGCCCCATTGGTCCTCCTGGCCCTGCTGGTGCCCCTGGTGACAAGGTGAGGTGGCCCCACCATCTTCCCTAGCACACAGCCTTCCCAGCAAGCCTGGGCATGGCTCTTGGGGGGAGGCAGGTCCTGCCATTCTGAGCTGGTGACCTAAAGGTGGGAGGACCAGAAGGGAGGGGAGGCTCTCCTGGGGTCATCTGCTGGGAGTACTCAGGGTGTGTCCCTGACCTGAGCCTCTTGTCCTCCCTCTCAGGGTGAAGCTGGCCCGAGCGGCCCTGCTGGTCCCACTGGAGCTCGTGGTGCCCCCGTAAGTACAGAGGACCCACGCTCTGCCCTGGGCTTCATACTTCCTGCCTCTTCCACCTTCACTGTCACCTGCTCTGGGCCCTGGGGAATGCTCCTCAGGGCCCATCTTCCCCTCCAACTCTGTTCCACCCCAGCCCAGGGCCCCACTCCAATCTGCCTCCTTTTCTTCTAGGGAGACCGTGGTGAGCCTGGTCCCCCCGGCCCTGCTGGCTTCGCTGGCCCCCCTGTGAGTACCAAGACCCCCATTATTTTCGATCACCCAATGGGACCGGGACCTTGGGAGGCTGCATAAGGACAGAGGCGTGGGCCGGAGTCAGGGAAGGAGGGCGGGGAGGGCATGGTGTCCCATTTGAGCATCTTCCTTCCCGGCTGGTGGCCCTTCCCAAGCCCCGTGGAACCACCTGATTCCCCGCGCTGCCGTCCCCCGCTCCTCCTCCACTCACCGCTCCCCCTCCTCCCCCAGGGTGCCGACGGCCAACCCGGTGCTAAAGGCGAACCCGGTGATGCGGGTGCCAAAGGCGACGCTGGTCCCCCTGGCCCCGCCGGCCCCACTGGCCCCCCTGGCGCCATTGTGAGTATCTCACCCTCTGGGCCCCCAGCTGCAGGCAGGCCTGGGCCTGGGCCCGGCCCGGGCTTAAGGGCACTGTGCTCTCCTCCAGGGTAACGTTGGTGCTCCTGGACCCAAAGGTGCTCGTGGCAGTGCTGGTCCCCCTGTGAGTATCTCACTGTTTCTCTCCCGGGGGTCCTTCCAACCTGTGTTCGGAGGGAGGGAGGGAGGCTGGGACAGCTGAGCGGGCTGTTCTCCCTCTGACCTCTCTGTCCTCTTCTGCCAGGGTGCTACTGGTTTTCCTGGTGCTGCTGGCCGAGTCGGCCCCCCCGGCCCCTCTGTAAGTAACTGTGGTGGAGAAGCCGCTGCTCTGGTGGGGGCGGTGAGGGGCCCAGGTGAGGGGAGGGCGGTGGGCCTCTGCGGGCCTCCGTGGTGCTCCAGAATCCACTGGAACCGGACAGCCTCTCTTCTTCCTGCCCAGGGAAATGCTGGACCCCCTGGCCCTCCTGGCCCTGCTGGCAAAGAAGGCGGCAAAGGCCCCCGTGGTGAGACCGGCCCCGCCGGACGTCCCGGTGAAGTCGGGCCCCCCGGTCCCCCCGGCCCCGCTGGCGAGAAGGGATCCCCTGGTGCTGATGGACCTGCTGTAAGCGCGCACTCTGCAGGGGTCCCGAGTGGGGGGGGTGCTCTCTGGAGGCTGCAAGGTGCCTCACCTTCATCTCCCCCTCCCCCCCAGGGTGCTCCCGGCACTCCCGGACCTCAAGGCATTGCTGGACAGCGTGGTGTGGTGGGCCTGCCCGGTCAGCGAGGAGAGAGAGGCTTCCCCGGTCTTCCCGGCCCTTCTGTGAGTGCCCCCTCACCTCGGGGAACCCCGAGAACAACCATCACTGGGACTGTGGACATGGAGGCCCAGGGCCCTCCCCCACCCCGTCTCTGGCCTGACTCTCTCTTCTCCCTCAGGGTGAACCTGGCAAACAAGGTCCTTCTGGAGCAAGTGGTGAGCGTGGCCCCCCTGGTCCCATGGGCCCCCCTGGATTGGCTGGACCCCCTGGCGAGTCTGGACGTGAGGTGAGCAGTCACCACCCCCTGCCAGTGCCCTCAGCGAGGCCATTTTGGCCTTTGCCTGAGCCTCCCTTCCTTGGCTGATGCTCACCCATCCCTCTCTCTCTGCAGGGATCTCCTGGTGCTGAAGGTTCCCCCGGACGAGATGGTTCTCCTGGCCCCAAGGTGAGATGGTTGCTCCCCAGGGCCACGGGCCCACCTGCCGTTCCCCTGCCCCAGCCTGTCCCCTTTAGCGGGGACTGACTCCTAGTCCCCTCCTCTGCCGCTCTCAGGGTGACCGTGGTGAGACCGGCCCTTCTGGACCCCCTGGTGCTCCTGGTGCTCCTGGTGCCCCTGGCCCCGTTGGCCCTGCTGGCAAGAATGGCGACCGTGGCGAGACTGTAAGTAGCTGGACTCTAGCCGGCCGTCTCGGGCCAGACACTCTCCGGGCCGGCCCATGGGCATCTGACTTCACTGAAGCTGGGGGAGGAAAGGGGGTCTTGCAAGATGGCCTCTGGCCTTCCTGAAAACCTGAGCCACAGCCTGGCCTCAAGGCCCCTCTCCCAGATGGGCCCTCGCTTCCCCTGGGGAATGGGGTTTGTCCCCAGGTGCTTGCCCCAGCTCACACGAAGCCTGAATTCACCTGAAGGTTCAGCTGGGGCTCAGGAGGGATGGACGTGGCGGGAAAGGATGTGAGGAAGGATGGCCATGGCCGAGGGGTGGTTTCATCCCACAGCTCAGGCCGTAGCAGGATCTAACACGCTCTGTGCTCTCCCCAGGGTCCTGCTGGTCCTGCCGGCCCAATCGGCCCCGTTGGTGCTCGTGGTCCCACTGTAAGTGCCCAGCTCTGGCCCTCATGTCCTCGTACTTGGCCCAGATATGGACTACACCCCACTCGGTGCTAATGAACCTTTCATCTGACAGCCTGTCCCTCTTCTCTTCTAGGGACCCCAAGGTCCACGTGGTGACAAGGGTGAGACAGGCGAACAGGGTGACAGAGGCATAAAGGGTCACCGTGGCTTCTCTGGTCTCCAGGGTCCCGCTGGTCCTCCTGTGAGTATGCTCAGCAGCCCCCAGCCCCAGCTGCCATTGAGCCCTGTTATACAATGAGGGGGGATGTTGCCTCAGTTTCCCCTCTGGATAGTCATTCTCACTCCTCCCTAGCGGGGGCCGAGGTATAAAGATTTATGGACATTTCCAAGGGGCTTCTGGGAGGGTGCGGGACACAAAGAGGGGGTGGAGGAGGTCTTAGCCTGTGGACACCTTGGGACTAGAGGTCCAGAATAATGGGGCAGGGGGCAGGTTGCTGGCCATGTTTGACCCACACGGGGTCTTACTGCCTTTGCATCTGTCCTTCAGGGCTCTCCTGGTGAACAAGGTCCTTCTGGAGCTTCTGGTCCTGCTGGTCCCCGAGTAAGTCATGCCTCTATCTTCCCTTGCTAGGGCCCAAGGCCAGGCTCACTTCGGGGCCCTCTGCCTGGGACACAGGTGTCCCCATCTCTTTCTAGAAGGGTCTGGGGGCAGGGGTTGGGAGAAGGGAAGAAGAATGCTGGACAATCTTGCCTGACTGTGAGAATGAACAAGGATGAGGCCATGGAGGCCGAGCCAGGCAGGGAGGTTGGTGAGCTTCTCCACAGAGTTGGGCTGGTGGCCCTGTGCTTTCTAGCAGGTTTCCTCCAACCGTCTTCCCCTTTTCAGGGTCCCCCCGGCTCTGCTGGTTCTCCTGGCAAAGACGGACTCAACGGTCTCCCAGGCCCCATCGGCCCCCCTGGTCCTCGTGGTCGCACTGGTGATGCTGGTCCTGTTGTACGTAGCCCCCCATCCCATCCACCTGTGGCCCTCAGCCCCAAGGGCACTTGGACCCTGGTAATCCCGGCTCTTCTTGCTCTCTGTGCAGGGTCCCCCCGGCCCTCCTGGACCCCCTGGTCCCCCCGGTCCTCCCAGCGGCGGTTTCGACTTCAGCTTCCTGCCCCAGCCACCTCAAGAGAAGGCTCACGATGGCGGCCGCTACTACCGGGCCGATGATGCCAACGTGGTCCGTGACCGTGACCTCGAGGTGGACACCACCCTCAAGAGCCTGAGCCAGCAGATCGAGAACATCCGGAGCCCTGAAGGAAGCCGCAAGAACCCAGCCCGCACCTGCCGCGACCTCAAGATGTGCCACTCCGACTGGAAGAGCGGTGAGGGCCTGCCCCAAGGGTGCCCCTCCTCCTCGTCCTCCTGCTGCCATGACAGCGCTGAGCCCTGAGGGGCCCAGATGCCCACGTGTGCCCCACTGCCCATACCTCCCCTGACTCCATCTTGCTCTGTCCCACTGCAGGAGAATACTGGATTGACCCCAACCAAGGATGCAACCTGGATGCCATCAAGGTCTTCTGCAACATGGAGACAGGCGAGACTTGTGTGTACCCCACTCAGCCTCATGTGGCCCAGAAGAACTGGTACATCAGCAAGAACCCCAAGGACAAGAGGCACGTCTGGTACGGCGAGAGCATGACTGACGGATTCCAGGTGCGTCAGCTGGACCTGGAGCCGCTCTCCCGAGATGGGGCTGACCCAGAGCTCAGAAGGGGCAGGAGGGGAGGTCCTGGGTGGACTAGACCTCTGCTAAGGGGGACGGACAGAGCTGGGCTGGGAGGCAGGAGTCCTGGGTCCTTGATCCTGGCTCAGACACAGGGTGCCCATGGATGAGCAAGGGGTGCTACTTCTGGATGGGAGAGGGGCCACGGGGATGCTCTTAGTGGACTCCAGGGAGGGAGGCTGGGACTAGAGGCTCCAGCATGGTCGCTCACTCGCTTCTCCCCCCGCCCCACACCCCCCTACAGTTCGAGTATGGTGGCCAGGGCTCCGATCCTGCCGATGTGGCCATCCAGCTGACGTTCCTGCGCCTGATGTCCACCGAGGCTTCCCAGAACATCACCTACCACTGCAAGAACAGCGTGGCCTACATGGACCAGCAGACTGGCAACCTCAAGAAGGCCCTGCTCCTCCAGGGCTCCAACGAGATTGAGATCCGGGCCGAGGGCAACAGCCGCTTCACCTACAGCGTCACCTACGACGGTTGCACGGTGAGTCCCAGGCCGGGCCCCTGTCTGGGCTCTGGCTTTCCTGGCAGGCCATACTTGCCCTCACCCCACCGCTCCCGCCCGGTGACACCCCTCCCCCCTTGTCTCCCCAGAGTCACACCGGAGCCTGGGGCAAGACAGTGATCGAATACAAAACCACCAAGACCTCCCGCTTGCCCATCATCGATGTGGCACCATTGGACATTGGCGCCCCAGACCAGGAATTCGGCATGGATGTTGGCCCTGTCTGCTTCTTGTAAACTCCCTCCCACCCTACCCGGCTCCCTCCCACCCAACCCCCTCACCCTTGACCCTGGAAACAGACAAACAGCCCAAACTGAAACCCCCAAAAAGCCAAAAAATGGGAGACAATTTCACATGGACTTTGGAAAATATTTTTTTCCTTTGCATTCATCTCTCAAACTTAGTTTTTATCTTTGACCAACCGAACATGACCAAAAACCAAAAGCGCATTCAACCTTACCAAAAAAAAAAAAAGAATAAATAAATAACTTTTTAAAAAAAGGAAGCTTGGTCCACTTGCTTGAAGACCCATATGGGGGTAAGTCCTTTTCTGCCCGTTGGGCTTATGATACCCCAACACTGCCCTTTCTGCTCCTTTCTCCATCTCTCCTTGGGGCCTCCCCTCCACTGCTCCCCAAATCTAAGTCTCCCCAAAAGGCACAGGAAACAATGGATTGTCTGCCTAGCAACCAAAGGCAATGCTAAAACACCCAAGTGACCCCCCACACTCCCAGCCCACTCCCCTCACCCAGCACCCCCAGACCCTGGGGGGACCTGAGGTTCTCAGACTGCCGAAGAAGCCTCACCATCTGGCATCCCTGTGGCTCCTGCAACAACCCCTCTTCGTTTCTGAGGGGGCATGCTGGGGGACCACGGGCCCCTCGCTGCCTGCCGGGTTTGGAGGGAAGTCAGGAGGGGCCACGACAGAGCGGAAGGAAGCATCGGATCATTCGGGGACACGTGTCAGTTCCCCCCTCCCCCATGCGTGCGACAGGGCTGGGTGGGAGAGACTGCTCTGTTCCTTGTGTAATTGTGTTGCTGAAGGACTACCTCTTCTTGTCTCCTTGTGTCACCGGGGCAACTGCGTGGGGGCGGGGTGGGGGCAGGGCCGAAGGGGCTCCCCATTTTATATCAAAGGTGCTACATCTCTGTGATGGGGTGGGGTGGGGAAGGATGACTGGTGCTATAGAAGTCGGGGCGCCCCACCCCCCAGGCCAGCAAATGTTCCTTTTTGTTCAAAGTCTTTTTTTTATTCTTTGGGGTTTTTTTTGTTGTTTTGTTTTGTTTTTCCTTGCGGATGGGGACTTGTGAATTTTCTAAAGGTGCTACTTAACTTGGGGGGAGAGAGTGTCGCAACTCAGTGCTCCCTTCCACCCCTCTCCGTGCCACCCCCCCACCTGCCGCCTCTCTCCACCTCTCTCTCTGAAACCCGCTCCTCAGCTGCACCCCATCCTCACGGCCTCTCTATCCTGTGTCCTTTCTCTGGGTTTCAGAGCACAACTTCCCAAAGCACAAAGCAGTTTTTCCCCCTAGGGGTGGGAGGAAGCAAGACTCTGTACCTATTTTGTATGTGTATAATAATTTGAGATGTTTTTAATTATTTTGATTGCTGGAATAAAGCATGTGGAAATGACCCAAACATATCTGCAGTGGCCTCCTGATTTCCTGCCTTGGAGTCTGGGGGGTGCGGGGTGGGGAGCCTGGGGTGGGCACTTTGGCTGGGGGCGGGCGGGTTCTCCTGTTCTTGCCCCTTCCCTCCTCCTCCTCTTCATCTAGCACCCTCCACAGTGGCTCCCCCCTTCCTCTTGCCTTTCTTATGCCTTAACCCTTTCCCCCTCCCTCATGCAGTCTTCCTGGCATGTCTCCCCAATGCCCTTCTTCCTCACAGTGCCACACAGACCACCCCCACGGGCCGCAACATGCACGTGCGCACACGCCTCGCTTCAGATCCTGGGCTGCCCAAACCTCAGGCCCACTCTCCATCAACACCATCAACTCCGCTCTCCATGGCTGTGGGCACCCTGCAGGGTTGGTGGGGGCACAGGGTTGGGGGGGCACCGGGAGGCCGGCCCATGGCTGAGGGAGGTGGGACTGGCGAGGACCACCCGGGAGCCCCTCAGCAAGGCCTCTCCCTGGGCATACATGGAGGGTCGTCTGGCCTCTCCTCTCTCTTTGCTCACTCTGAGCTCCCCCAAAGGAGCAATAAGCAGAACAGCTCAAGAAGGGTCCCTCCCTGAGTCTGCCTGGAGCTACGGAAGGAGGGAGGGAGCTGGCCTGCCCTCAGAGGAGCCTCCCCAGGGCTCTCGGAGAACTGCAGTCAAGGCACTTACAGGGTGCTGTCCTGCCAGCAACAGGCCTTGACCCTACTGGGCAGGTACCAGGTCCCTCTTGGCCTTCTAAGTCCCCATAACACCTGGGTGCCGGGTGGCCTAGGAGGTCCTTTTGCCCAGCCTCGCCTCCTGCCCATGCCTGATCTTTTTAAAAAATTCTTGCTTCCTCTGCCTCCTTCTTCTCCCTTCCTTCCCTTCTCCCTTCCCCTCTGCCTGCCTGAGAACCTGAGGCCCCTGGAGGGACGGTGACTGGCCAGCTCCCCAATCTCAGGGAAGGGGAACAGCCGTGAGCAGTCATTGGGGACACAGGTTTCCAGAAGTCTGGAGCATACCAGACACCCAGAGACCTGGAGACAGGGAGACGTTGGAGCTGTGCCCCCACCCACCCACTCACCCAAGGTCTCAGGGCCTAAACATTCAAGGCAGGAAGGGCCCCCCCCCACTTCATCCCTCCCTCGGGTCTCGGGGAAACGGGGTGGAAGAGGCCATCGGCAGTGACGCTAATTCCATTGTTGTCAACAAGTGGCCACAACGATTAATTGTGCTTTAATAATTCATCATTAGCTCTTCTACCACAATCTGGACAGTGTAGAAAGGGAATTAGTCTCGAGTGGTTAAGAAATTATGACACGTAAATGAGGGTTTCATCGTAGGCGAACTACCCGACCTGTGCGGCGATGGGTGGGTGATGCCTTGGTAACCCCCATCGACCCCGGCCTCCAGCAGGCCGCCCCCCGCCCCCGGGGGCAACCGAGGCTCTACCTGGCTGCTACCCACCTGTCCCTTTTCACTGTCCCCTCCCTTACCCACACCTATCACACCAGCCAGAAAGGGTGACCACAGTTCTCATGTATGCACCCCACTCTCCACGTCCAGGCTTTTCTTTATGCCTCTTCCTCAGCCTGAGCTGACAGCCCTTATCTCTGCCTGCTCAGCCCCCCACACTCCAGGCCACGTGTCCCCTCATTTCCCCGCCGCTTTCCACGTTTTCCACCGTTATGCTCCCCGGGCCCAGCGGGAGACTAAAGCGAGAGCGTGAGGTGGCAAGGGGGGCTTCCTAGGCCGTTGGGAATAGGAGCGAGAGGTGGAGCAATGAAAAGCAGCCCCCCTGGGGGAGCAGACGGCGGTGGAAGGCCCCAGGCCAGTGCTTCCTGCCCCCGCGTGGCGTGCTCTCTCGGGGGCCCAGCAGCGTAATCACTAGCCACACATGGCTCGGGAGCACTTGACATGTGGGTAGTGCCACTGAGGAATGCAACTTTAAATTGTGTCTCACTGTAATTAATTTCAATAGCTGCAAGCGGCTAGTGGCCGCCGTGTCGGGCATCTCTAGACAAATGAGTGAATATGCCTCTTACTAGGTATGCACAAATCTCCACACGGGGACACGAACGTGTGCGTGCGTGTGTGTGCGCACGCCCGGGGGAGGGCACATGAGGTGACACCGTGTGGCCGGGCTGTGCTGTGGTGCGAGGCCAGAATGCGATTTCGGTGTGTGTGCAGGCTGGAGGGGAGCGGGACAAAGGGGCCATTGTACCACATCCCCGACTCAAGCCCTCCTCTCTGCTGACATCACGGCGGCCCTAAATAGAGCTGCCCGGACCCGCTGCCCCAGACCCCGGCCGCCCCCGCTCCCACCGAGGCTCCACGGGACTCACCTTTGTCTTCTCTGTGACGAGATGGGCCACATTCCTAGGGCGGATTTCTCAGTCAACTTCAGATGGAAAATTCTAGAAAGGAAGGAGGCTTCTTCTGGATTTTTTTATTGTTGCTGCTCTCTCAGAATCCTGGGTCCCTTTTGTGGGGGGAGCCCATCTCCTGGCAGGATTTTTTCCTGACTGAAACGTGGCAGATGTCCCCTCCTCTTTGGGGTCAGCTCTTTACCCCCAGCTGCCCTGGTGCCTCCAAGACTTTCCTGGATGGACATGGGTGAGGGTGAGGAGGGGAGAGGTTGCTGGGGGGGCCGCCTAGCTAGAGTGTGGGAGCCTCAGGTGAGGGGGACAAGCGGGGTCGTGTGTAGGGCGGGAGAGGAAATGTGGGGCTGCTCTTAAAACCGGGAGCCACAGGGGAAGGCTGCTCGGCGGCTGTGAGTGTGGGAGGCTGTGTCAGTGGGTGAGGCGCGCGAGAATGTGTCTGCCCACCCATAAACAAACGTGGCCGTGTTCAAAGGGGCCCCCCACGCGGGCGGGTGTGTTGGGGATGGGTCGGGGTTGGGGGTCTGTGTACGAGGGGACCGCTTCCCCACACACATGGGGGCGCAAGAGATGCTGCGTGAACTGAGAAGGTAAGGGTCTAGCAGCAGGGACGTGTGCGTGCATAGGCGGGACAGAAGGCACGGGAGGGCCTGCGGGTGAATGCGGGCAGCTGATCGGGGAGGATATGGGGGGAAAACCAGGAGAGGCTGGGTGTGGGGAGAGACCACCGTCCTAAAGTGTCAGGGCCCGTGGAGCCCTAGCGCTGGTGAGCACGTGTCTCTGTCCCCTTCCCGCTGCGCGCTCCAGAGGGTTCCAAGTAGAGCTGAGAGATGTCCACGGACCAGGGGGCAAGACCTGGGGAGAAGGACGGCCCTGGTCTAGCAGGGTCATGAGACCCTTCCGCACGCGGAGATTTCAATGCCTTTGCAGAGCACGTGCGCAGCAAGCCCCGGAGGGAGGTGAGTTTGGTGCCTGCAGGTGCCGGAGAGTAGGGTTTTCTCGGCGGAAGGCAGTGGGAGGAAGAGGAGGATGGGGCGGGATGGCACATTTTAGAACAGAGGCCACATATTCACACTCTAGGTGACTTCACTGCTGTGGGGCAGACCCCCACCCCCCTCAACTCCTCCAGGCTTTGGAAAATTCATGCATGCACAGAGGTCTGGTACAAGCAGGTGTTCTGGAGAAAGCGAGGATAGGGGCCGAGTTCTGGGTTTGGGTCGATCTGGAGTGGAGATAAAGGAAGAGCCGTGAAACCAGCGCTGCCCAGTAAAAATAGTATGCGAGCCACAGATGTAATTTTTCATTTCAGCCGTATTAAGGCAATAAAAAGAAACAGGTGAAGTTAATTTTAATAACATGTTTTATTTAACCCAGTATACCTCAGAACATCACTTCACTGGCCAGCAGAGCGGCACCAGGAAGCAGGAGAATTTCAGCCTCCACCCCAGACTTAGAAGGAGAGCGTGAACCCTTCACAGGGCACAGGGTGTAAATGGAGCTCATTTAAGCTGGACCTCAGGGGGCAGGGGGACCCCACGGGCCTCTGGTTTGGCCGTGCTCACGCGAGGGTTCATGTGTAATAATGTCTCCTTTCTTGGGAGCTGTCAGATGCTGGGCACTCGTCCGGGGCTCACAAATCCTCCCAACAGCCCCCAGGCAGTTATGATTAATGTCTTACGACTAAAGGAACTATCAGAGCCGCAATTCGAGTCCTGCTCGCTCTGAGCCCAAATCCCAACAAACCCACCCTGTAAATGTGTGTGTGTGTGTGTGTGTGTGAAGAATCGGGGAGACACAGGCCCTGTGGGGACTGAAGCCAGCTGTAGGTAGGGCCCTGTGTTCCCCTTGGGCAGACATCCTCCTCCCGGACTGAGAGGTGCTGAGGGAAGGTTGAGAGTCAGGCCACGGTGGGGCCCTGTTTAGGGTGAAGGTGGAGGCCCCTGGGTCTCCGGGCAGCGCTGGCCGTGGGGCTGGAGGAGCCGAGGGTGGGGCAGGGCATGAGGCCGCATCTCAGGGTGGAGGGCACTGGGGGGCCACAGGGGCTGGTTTCCCGTGGCTGTGGAGGGTTGGGCGTGACTGCCGTGGGAGCTCGCCCCTCAGCGAGGAGAGAGGTGCTGCGTCCGGCCGCGCCTGTCCAACGCACTGCCAGGGCGCCTGGGTGAGCGCGTGTGTGTGCCCAGGCTCCGTGTCCTCCGCAGTCACGCCATCCTCCCAGCTACTTGTCTGGGCCACTTCCTCCCAGGCCAGCAGCCAGGCTCCCGTGTGCTCCTCGGAGCCAAGATCTCAAGGCAAAGCCGTGTGGCGGAGGGAAGCGCGGGGCCGGCCGGGAACGCTCCCAGCCCTGGCTGCCCCGGGCAGGAGCGCAGAGACATGGAGAGGGCAGCCCCCTCTTCAAGGGGGCGGGGATGGAGGAGGGGCACCCCGGAGAGCAGGCTGGCGGCTCAGAGCCTCCAGCCAGGGCAGACTCTGTGCAAGTCCAGATTTTGGCCAGATGAGGGGCCTCGAGGCAAAGGAGGAAATGAAGAGACAGAGACACCATCTTGTCAGAGGACCCATGTGGGTGGGGGGTGGCCACCCCTACAGACACTCGGTCAAAAACATCTACTGAGCACCTCCCC